CAACCTCCAGATCATTCTTATAGCACATAAAATTAAGAATCTATGTGAAATTGAAATTATCAAGTGATATGAAGGAGAAATAACTAGGTTAATTCAGTTGAAAGTCATGTAGAAAATTATTATATGTTATATAGTTAAAGATACAACTGACTCTTTTTCTAGGCGAAATAATACTCATACTCTTTCCCATTTTTAAAAACTGTTATATGTATTTTAATTTATAATGACAAGTTATTAAGAAAACATAGGTGGCTATCAGTTACGTTTAATGTTAATTTTATACCCAGGAGTAAATTTAAAATTTGAGGATCAGTTATTTATCTTTTAGAACTCCTTTAAGCTTTAATGTGTTTTTGATACAAGCGTACGAAATAAATTAAACTGTCTGTTTTTGCATGTTATATGACTTCAGAGTTACGAATTTTTCTATGTATTTAATATATGACTTGCTTTTAATTATTTTCATTTTGAGCACATATAAAGTACAGAAATTTGAATCCCCTCCGGTGGAACAGCGGTAAGTCTTCGGATTTATAACTCTACAGTCAGGGGTTCGATTCCACTTGGTGAACACGGCAGATAGCCCGATGTGGCTTTGCCAGAACAAAACACACACAGGAATCTATTGACCTTGAATGCGGTACTGGCTGAACCACTGGGATCATGTATCCACTGTAAACCAAATGTGCAAATTAGCCTTAAATGTTATGTTATATAGCAGGAACTCGGGCAGGATGTGGTATGTACTACCTTATGGGGTTGTTGTATTGTAGCCAATATCATCCTCTGTTTAAGGCTGTTTTATGGCTGTCAGGTGGTGCAGGGAACATTCTCACATTTTAGAATTCCTTATGCAGTTTACCAAAACTTTTAAAGCAGTTATGGCACTCTCAAGAATTGTTTTATTCGAATTTAGAAAAGACAAAACATGCTACTGAAGTATTTTTGATGGATTGTTTAGGCAAAGTATCCATGATGAGTAAGTAGGAACAGACGGCAACTGCCTGTTGTGAAAAACACAAATGTAGAGGACGACATTTCGAGATTCTTTTGAAGATGAAGAATTGAAGACTTTCAAGACATCGTCTTCTACAAAAGGTCGTCCTCTACACTTGTGTTTTTTTACAACAGGCAGTTGCCGCCCGTTTCTATTTACTCATCATGCTATTGAAGTATTTTCCTTTTGTCTGCTATAACTAGCATTGTGCTACTGTCAATTGCAAGTTCCTTTCTCTTTTTTCTATTTTATCATTTAGTAATTCAGACGGTGTGATTCATTTCAAATATTTATCTATTTCTGTTACACATATATTCTTTGTATTATTCTATTTACAAACCGCTACATTCATTTTATTTTTACTTTAGCACCCCCCATTATCTGTCTCTGTTTTAATTGATACCTTTATAAATAATGCATTTATTTGGCTTTATTTAATTTTTACTATTTTAGAAAAACAAATTGTGTTTATGTAACTTTTCATAACATATGTATAAATATATAAATGGTTATTGTTTGTGTTTAATAAATATGAACACTGAGATACAATAACATATAATTAAAACTAACATTTTTAACATTTCAATTTTACTCTTCCAATCACTTACTGTGAAGAAATTTTCTTTAATAAAACTGTAAAAGAATATTTTAAAAAACCAGAAAGAGTTAAAAGATATACAAATCAAAGAGCAAAAGAGGTGAAGACATGGTATTATATTGTCATAGAGATAAGCACATTGACTTACCTATTAGAGAAAGGGTTAAACTTTTAGTTTGAACAATGTTTTCCAATTTATACTTTACATTTCTAATATTCTGTTAGCTCTAATTAATATGAATAGTGAAAGTGATTTTCAAGTTTTATAAATTCTTAAAATAATTTGTTTCATAATGATTCAGCACCAATCATTTTTTAATATGCTAAAAAAAATTTTAAATTACCAAAATCCTTTTATGCTCCACTTTCGTCCCTTTCTCCAAACACACTTCTAAAGTTGTTGCGGCTGTAGTCAGCTCTCTGTGAAGATGCAGTAGCTCCAGCACATAGCTTAGGCTGCTGGGAGCTCAACTCTGCTATTTGTATAAATGCACTGGGACCACTACTTCCATATGACTGGGGGTGTGACATATGATGACATGGCCTTTGACTAAACGTAAACATTGGAGAAAAATGCAAACTGAGAACTAGGTACACAGTGTGTTCCCCATATATTTATTTTTGCAATAATATGTAGTTAATCCGTAAACCAATGATTAAAGTGTTGATATTAATTCAGTGTTTGTAACCAAAAACAACAACAACAAAAAAAACTTTGGTTAATATAATCATTTTATAATAATAAACTCTAATTAATAACCACTTTACTGTTTGTATTTGTTATATTGATTGCCAGTGTAATAAATCCTAATGGAAATGTTTACGCAAACAAAACTTTTGGCCTGTATTTGATTTTAAAAGTGTCATAAAATAAAGTTATCATTGCTGTTAGATAAATCAAAACTGGCCATTGTCAATGACCTCAACATACAGTACTTGAACTCTTCGTCTAATATATAGCAACAATGTTTCAAAACATGAGATAATTAAAAGAATAATGAAATCTCACATATTTAAGTAACGACGCGCCATCTTTTGGCAACGTTTGGAACTATGACATATTAATCTCCCTCCACCCTGAGGCAACCAATCAGCGTGAGATGGCATTCTTTGGGTGTTAAAGTGCCTTCCTAACTACTAAGTATAAGAAAGATTAGAAAGAATCACCACATTATTTGAGTAGGGAAATCTACTATGGTAATTGTTCAGTATTAAAAACTTGCTAAAGTATAATCATGGAAATCCATGTAGAGACAGGAAATTTGAATAAGATGAGCAATAGTGATTTGAGTAAGAATATGCAATAGAAAAACGGCAACCTTACACGTGGCACAATTAATGCACTATAAAATGCACGAGTTGTAATTTCTAACTAATGTGCATGATAGGAAAACATAAGATTTTTTCATGATGGAAAGTGAAGAACTTAGAAAATTTCACAGCATGACAAAATTAAGGAGGTCGAATTAAGTTTAAACTATGCTCTCAGTTTTTTGCAAAATTCTTGTGTAACTCCATACCACAGTAGATATTACATGCAATAATTTTATTATGGAGTCATAACAAGGATTTTAGCTTGAGCAAACTGTCAGCAATACATCTCCAGCTTTGTTTGCTTACTTTTTTGCAATCCCTATTTATAGATTTTAAATCTGTAATTTTTAATTATCTGGTATGTTAGCTTTTGTAATGCACAGCAATGGACAAATATATATACCCAGAGTAAGACACAACCCCACTAAGCATGTATAAATTTTACCAGCAGAAAAGCAGCCTTTTCCAGTAAAACAAACATGTCTAAAATATCACTTTAAATACAGCTTTGTGTCTTTTAAAGTAATTATTTACTAAGCGAGATGGCTTTGTGCCTGAGGTTTTGTGTAAATGTGTTTATCATGTATTGATTACAAAAGCAGCTGCTCAGGACAACATCACACTTATTATGTATTTATAACCACATAAGTCAACTTTTAAAGAGATCATAGTCATTTGCAGCATTCAGTATAGTATATTTCTAGGTTATGGTGCAAAATATCCAGCCAGTTTTGCTGTAGACTTGTGAAAAAATAATAGTAATATGAACAAATGGGCAAATTTGGATTTTGCTAAAAATAGTGAAATCACTTATTTTGATTATTATCAATGTTTGGGTGGCCTTAACTATTGAAAAGGAAGGTTTTGAGTGTTGTTTCAAGGATCTGCTTTTTAAGGTGATTTTTGTTCGAATATTCTATCAGAGTTTTGAGCAAATTCCTGTGTGATCCCTATTATGAACCACTATCGTGACTCATGATATAAATGAAGAATACAAATATAAGTTGGGGCAAGTTTAAACCTGTATGCAGCCCTACATGACTATAGTAACACCGCCCACCTTTATAAAATACATGTAATACACTAAAATATATAAATGAAAAATATAAACATTAATTAAGATAAGTTGAAATCTGTATGCAGTTTTATGGAAGTATTGTATCACTGTCCACTAATGTAAAACACGTAAAACAAATAAATGAAATATATAAACATATGTTGAAACAAGCTGATATCCGTATGTAGTCTTATCCGCCTATAGAAACACCATCTGGTGACACTTCGTGGAATAATGACGTTAGCGGCTCTACTCCTCCCACCTGAGGCAGCTAATCAGCGCGCGTGCTTGAACTACCGCCTTAACTACTCTTATTTATTATATCTGTTCCTCTTACATGGGTGAACCTCAAGGAAGACACTAAAACCTTCCACGGCAGAATTTTTGATATGTCTCAAAAATGTTTTTACTCAAAAGTGGTAAATTAAGAGGGGTAAAAGAGGGTACTTTATTCAAGAGCCGTCAAATTATCTGGTGACAAGTTAGTAAAAAATCAGTTCTCTGGTCCTGGATTGAATGATTAGAACACTAACAGAGTGTAGAAAATCGTGAAAGCAGGAATAATCCAATCTCACTTTCGAATTTCCTTTTCCTAGATAAAATCGATGCGGAGTTTTACAAACAGTACTTAGATAAACGAGACCACCAGCATAACGTACTAAAACGTGTAATAACAGCTATAGCTTTTGTAACAAGTCGTGGCTTAGCTTTCTGTAGAAGAAATTAAGTTTTGGATCGTTTACGAAGGGAAATTACATGAGTGTTTTAAAAGTAATTTCAGACGGCATTGTAATCATTATCTCAGGATGAAGCTCAAAGTATGAAAACGAAACTTAAAGAGCATAGTTTAGTTAGTTAGTTACTTTTAGTTACTTGATGAGTGATTAGTGTATGATTTTGTCAGTTTTTGTTTGCAAATGTCAGTTAGTTCACTACTGTGAATATTAAGTTTGTTTTGATGAAGAAATACGAAATTAGCAAGTAAGAAGAATTTCTATTAAACGTAGTTTATTTGCGATATTAGGTTTAAACGTAGTTTATTTGTTATATTAGGACTATTGGCAAACGTTGGTTACGCTAAACGTGGAACTTGGAATCGAAGAAATAAAGCATTTTTATTATCCTCAAGAGGACTGGACTTTCCACTCTTCTTTTAACCAAACGAAAAGAACAAAAAATCCAACCAATTATACAAATCATTACTAGTATCAGAAATTGGGCTATTTGGGTAATATCAGATCCAAACTCATCTTTGAGATGTCGACATGTGCTAGAGCAAGCTATGTCCTTAAATCGAAACTGAAACTAACCTATACGTTTCTTACGTTTTATTCATAAAGATTAGAATGCACTTTAACATCTCAAGAGGTTAGGTCAGCTTATAAAATTGAGTTAGTCCTAAATACCTATGTTAAACTATCAACGCAAAATCATCTTCATAAGGAAATTATAACAATAAACCAAAATAAAAAGTAATGAGATTCAATAAATTAATATTACAATAAATATAGTTAATTGATGTAACAATAAATCAATAACATAATATACATTACTTAGGGAACCCAGAAATACTACCTTTCTGCTTCAAGTGGTTGTATAAGAAAACTGTTTTGAAAACTTGTTAAATTTATTTGTTCTTTCTAGTCGTGTCTCCTGACCAAAGAGAACTCATTAAGCCCCACCCCTAGAGTGTACCGTCAGAGGTGGGGTGACATCTATATTCGACACATGTTACTGATAAAACTGTGTCTAATTTCTAGCAGTAATTTTTTGATAGTATAACCAAAAATTGATGTTTACAAAAATTAAAATACCTGATAATGTGACAATATAAAATGTAATACGAAGAAAACAGCATGGTAGACATATGTGGGTGTGTCAAACCAACTTTACCGTTTTTACTTTATATCTTCTAAGAAAAACAAGAAATAATAAACTAGATGCACTTGCGCAGAGTCCCCGAAAATGTTCTGTTCCAAGAGTAAACAAAACCAAAATTAAGAGTAACAAATATTTTTTATTTCTTGTTTTGAAGTTCATGTGATGCCGTGTTGTAGCCTACAGAGTGCGTAATTCTGTTCGTGGTTCATGGCATGCGCACGTTTTACTGACGTCACGACAGTACAAAGTGCAACGTTAAGCGTTCCTTATGTGACGTCATTTTAGTGTATAATGATTGACTGACAGACAACATTCTACTGTATAGTGGTGCGAGTAGTTATAACAAGTGGCCCCCTCCAAGCGGCCTCTTGTCCCCTTTCGGGGAAATAACGTTAAATCTTCTGTAAAATCCGAAACTGAAACACGATAAGCGTTTATAATGCAGGAAATTCAAGTAGTTAATAAAGGCTTAGAAAGGAAAGCTACATCAGTCGTTAATATGGTAAGTACAGCAATCATCAAAAAGTAACTAAAACAGAGTGGTTATAACAGGTGGCCCCCTCCAAGTGGCCTCTGGACCCCTTTCGGGGAAATAACGTTAAGTCTTCTGTAAAATCCGAAATTGAAACATGATAAGCATTTATAATGCAGGGAATTCAATTAGTTAATAAAGGCTTAGAAAGCAAAGGTACAAGAATCGTTAATAGGGCAAGGACAGCAATCATCAAAAAATAACTAAAACAGAAACGTCCATGATAATGTGATAATATGTACTTCACTTGGATTTTACTCGGTTTGGTTTATAGTGATTTTCTTTAACTTTCGGGGTTATTTTATATGTTTTATTTTAATTTAACTGGGTTTTTTTCTTTTATACTTTCTAAAGGTAACACTGTCCAGCTTTGTGCTAAAACAAGGCTCACTTCGCTTGTTGATCTGAACTTTGAATCCATTGTTTGTAGTTCACATTCTATTGTTGCTCCGGACTTTGAATCAATTGTTTATAGTTTGTATTCTATTGTTGCCCCGGACTTTGAATCAATTGTTTGTAGTTCGTATTCTATTGTTGCTCCGGTCTTTCAATTGTTTGTAGTTAGTATTCTGTTGTATT